GTACCCGCACATACTTCGGCGTCAGCTCTCGGCGTCAATCGCTGATCTTGGGCGACGACCCTGACCTCTTCTGCTCCTACCGGGATCCGGTCCAGGTGTGGTGGATTTGGCGCGGCCCGACTTCAAGTTGCGTGATAATAGACTGGACCTCTTAAAATGCATACTTGTGAAACATCAAATGCCAGAGGAGATACCAACTTCGTCGACCGAGCACGATGGGCAGCGAGCAGTCGACGCCCGCGTCGCCGGTCCCGGAAGAGGGCGATGGCTCGAGCTCTGGCTTCCGCGTGCTTGGCATCCAGGAGAACTCGCCCTCGTCAACGGTCGGCTTTGTCTCGTTCTTTGACTTTATCGTGGCGGCGAATGGCATTCGATTGGTATGCATCAAGAGGTCATGGCGACGGCGCGCTCACGCCCACCTGTGTAGGACACGAAGGACGCGACGTTCATGGAGATCATTGCACAGAGCGAAGACGTGCCCATGAAGCTCTCGATATACAACATCAAGTCGCAGACGACCCGCGGTACATGACGTTGCCGTCCTCGCCTGTCCTGGATGCAAATGACTAGAGCTCGAGATGACACCGACGCGCCAATGGCCTGGGAAGGGCATGCTGGGCGTCACGATCCGCTTTGACTCGTTTGAAGGCGCCGAAGACAACCTGCTCCACGTGCTTGTACGCGCAAGATCCACGAAGCGTGTGCACTCAACCGCGACGTCTGTAGGAGGTGGCCGACAAGTCGCCGGCGCAGCTTGCGACGCTCGAGCCCGAGGCAGACTTCCTCCTTGGCACGCACGAGCGCGTTTTTCGAGGTAATGACGACGCTGTCTTGCTGTCGATGACGACATGTCGACTAGATCCCGAAGACCTCTACGATGAGATTTTGGACAGCCTCGACAAGCCTTTGCAGTGCTACGTCTACAGGTACGACGCACTCACTGCACGACTGCGGTAGACTCATGGTTGTCTCGTCGTAGCGCCAGAACAGACCAGGTCCGGCTGGTCACGATCGTGCCCAACGACCGCTGGGGCGGCGAAGGCTTTGGTTTCCTCGGCGCCGAGGTCGGCCACGGGTATCTTCACCGTCTACCCGCGAGTGTGCGCCATTCGAACGGCGAGTCGGTCGGCTTTGTCAACATTGCGGCGCACACCCAAGCTGCGACCGATGTCTACGGTACCATTCCTCCCGTCTCCTGCGTCCGTCACTGTAGTGCATAGCGCGCGAGCTGCCGGCCGAGCCCGTCGCGCCGGTTGAAGACACGGTCCGAGCTTCATTCTCGTTGCAATCACGCTGCATACAACGCATAGGTCGAGGCGGCCGAGACGCCTATCGAAGCACCCGCCGTGGTTGCCCCCGTGGTGGTGGCGTCGACACCTGCACTGGCCGAAGTCCTCTCGGTGAGTGCGCCATCGTCGACGTCGTCGTTGCCGTCGCCGCGGCGGGACGTCGTGGCCATCGCGCCAGCGCCCAAGTCCAACCCAGTGACAACGTCGCCGTTTCCGCCCATGGGCTTCCCGGGGTTCCCCATGTCGACGGTCGAGACGTACATCAACCCCATGTCCCGCGACTAAGTACTGTTGACGACGTGTGTATTGCGCAAGTCTACTCGGCGGCTTCGAGCTGCTTGAGCATGTCGAGAATCGACTCGGCTGTCTTTTTGCTCTGGGGCACACCCGTCCCCGTGTAGTACATGTCGGCGAGGTTCTTCCACGCCGACATCGAGTGGCGGTCGGCCGCCGCTTGGTAGTACTGAAAGGCCTTGGTGTACTCGCGGCGTTCGTACTTGAGCGCGCCGAGGCAGCAGAGCGCGTCGGCGTGTTCGAGTTTTGCCGCTTGCGTGTAATATTCGATCGCTTGCCGCATGTCGGGCGCCGTCAGCGGAGGCAGACCGTAGTGGTAGGCGTCGGCCATGCAGTAGATGGCGTCGGCGTCGTCGCATGCGACAGCGGCCTCGAGGTAGCGCCAAAACACCTCAGCGTCGGGCGCGATACCCATGGTCTCGTCCCCGCTGCGGTAGAGCTGGGCGAGGTAGTAGCGGGCGCCGCCATGACCTTTGTCAGCGGCCGCTTCGAGCATGAGGAGGCTGCTGGTCGCGTTCGCCGGGACGACATCGTGGCCGACGTGTAGCACATGACCCATGAAGAAGAGCGCACTGGGGTCGCCGACCTCGGCCGCCTTCATAAAGTAGCTCATCGCGCGCTCAGCGTCCGTGGGGATCGGAGGCACTGAGTTGGCGCTGCCGTTGTAGTAGAGCAGCCCAAGGTTGTAGAGCGCATCCGGGTGCGGGTTCTGGCAGTTGGCGAGGAGCGAGTACCACGCGGCGCCGGCGTGCGCGAGCGGCGGGTCGTGCTCCATGCAGAGGTTCCCGAGGCGGACGTAGGCGTCGCGGTGCCTGCAATGACTCTGTATGAGGACGTGTCCTTGGAGAGGGTGACGTACCCGGCATCGGCCGCGCGGCGGAGCCACTCGACACCCTTGGCGTTGTCTTGGCGCATGAGCTCCATCGGGTCGGACGGGGCCACAAAGGCCTCGTCGAGCGGCGGTAGTTTCTTGCGCCCGTTCAAGAGCGGCTCGACGATGCTGCCAAAGACGTCGTCCAAGGCGTCAGTCGTCGTATGCTGGACGAGACTCGCGGCCTGTGTCTTCTTCTTTTGCTCTTCGCGGTACGCCTTGTACATCTTGCGCGCCTGCTTCCGAATGGTCCTGATGTCCTGCGGGTCGGTGGTTGCATTTGCCTTTTGGCGCATGTCCTCGGCATCGAGGAGCCACTCGTCTTCGGCCGACGTCGCGTCATTGGCCTCGTCGTCTTCGAGGTACATGAGCCCTAGCTCATATTGCGCGACAGCGTCCTCCTTGTAGGCGCGCACATGCAGCGCCTGGACCTCGTCCCAAAAGGCCTACGTAGCAAGACGCATGAGGACTGGCGATTGTCGCGTAGGATTACATTGTCAGTTGGCACCGACGCACCATGCAGCGATCGCACATGCAGAGAAAAAGGCTGCGCATGGCGCAACGGGTGCGTGACAGAGACCACCGAGCGCTGCTGCGTTCGCACGCGGGATGCCTGCCGAGCGGCGTGGCGGGCCAGTACTGCTACGCGCCGCAGCATCTTGAGTTTGTCCAACGAAGCCTGAGGATGCGGAAGCGCTTCGCGATGCCATTGGCCCAAAAAGCAAGTGTTTTCGACCAATCCAACACAGCCATACGAACGAACCCGATTCGTGCAAATTACGTTGAATTGCAGCCAATCAAGCGCATCGAAGACGTGTTGGAACTTCAGCGAAGATCGAAGACAACGCTGTGCAACCAGCTGCTCGGTCTTGTCTCTACCAGGTGCCACATTTCCGAGATTCTTCAACGGAGATCTGGTTTATGGGTCCACCCCCCAGGAGCTCCCCCGGGGTCCTACTGTTATGTGACGCGGCTGTCTGGAATGTTAGGCGTCGACGCCACCGTGAGGCTAGTCGCACGCAGCTACACGTGCATGCACGCAATGCGTTTCTCGTCCGCCTCGTCCAGTCCCATGACGAGTCTCATGGATTGATGGCGACTGCGCATCCTCTACTAGTATACATAGTCGACTAAGCTTCGCAGTCCAAGCGTGTGCGCCAAGTCAGCAAGCTTGGACAGCATGGGGTCCTCTTTCTTGTCACACAACAGAGATCGATCGAGGAGCAACACCAGCCGCACCTACACCAGCCGCGCTGTAATAGTCCTTGGGTCCTCGCCATGCAAGTGTGATCATAGATTTATCTCGCATAAGTCGTACCCGTAGCGCCTTCGCGCCATCGATCCTCTCTTCTGGTTCTCGAAGACGGACGAGCAATGAGCAAGAACGAGCATTCGCGTGCTGCGAGTTCGGATTCTGCGTGTCCTCATACGTACAGTACATGAGATGTGGGTGCAGTCCACGTTCCATGTCGTGGCGACTCTAGAGCATTTGAGCAGTGCTTGTACGTACGTGCGTGCACGAGACGATGCGTCGAACGCTGCGACAGCGAGCCCGCGTAATGTTGCGTGCAACTAGCCGACCCAGGCGCTGTGTTATAACGCACCTTTACACTCGGTAGAAAGGGCAATCTGGCGCGGTGGTCCACCACCTGCTCGTTCCCGGCGGATACACGGGCGCGACTCACGCGCCGAGTCAGACGACACGAGCGTGGTTTGTAGGCAGCATCATTGGTGAAAAGACAGGTTCTCGATCAACAACCTCGTCACCATGGCCGCTGCCCGCCCCCGGATCATCCTCTTTGATGGCGAGATCCCGCAAGAGTCGACGCCGCAAGCCAACTTTATTGAGATGCAGCAGCATCAGAAGGCCAACACGCACGGTCTGCTCTACGACGCGAACCGGGACCACCGAGCCATGTCGGTGCCGCGGCCGCCGCCCAACACGCACTTTGCGCAGCCTGCGCACCGGACGCCGACACCAGCGCGCAAGCCGCCGACGTACAACCCGAGCGACTATGGCTTTGCGGCCAAGATGCGCAGTCCGACAGCCATGTTCATCGGTGCGGTCGTCGGCGCAATCGTCGGCGGCGTCCTCGCCAACTACAAGGCGCTCAACGGCGACAACATTTCACCAGTCGCCGCGCAGTGGGTCTCGCTCGTCGGGTCGCTCTTCTACCGCGCCATGACGTGCATCGTCATTCCGCTCGTGCTCTCGTCCATGGCGCTCAGTGTCTCCGAGATGCTGCGTATCGGGAAGGGCACGGCGATCTCGTGGCGCGTCGCATTGTACTTTTTCCTGACCAAGGTGCTCGCGGCGACGACCGGGCTCTTGATTGCGCTGGCATTTGCGTCTCAGTTTCAGAACATTGACGAATCGCACCGGCAGCGCGACATTACGTCGGACGCCAAGATGTGGCTGCGCTGCGGCAGCCTTCCGTCCGACGACAAGTTTATGACGCTCTCAACCAACGGCACCATCACATGCGAGAGCCGGGACCCTTTGGACGCCCGCGCGATGGCCAACTCGTCCTTTGTCATGCGCGATACCAACAACGTCTTTGTGAAGAACGCCGACATTGGCGCGATGCCCAAGCGGACGTTTGCCCAGGCAGTGATTGACATCTCCAACGACATTGTGCCCGACAATGTCGTCAAGGCCATGGTGTCGACCAACGTCCTCTCGGTGGCGATGTTTGGGCTCCTCTTTGGCGCCGCCGTGTGCAAGAATTACCGTCAAAACTCGACCGGTACGCATTACGTCATGGACATTCTGCGCCAAGTCAACCACGTGTGCACGGTGCTTGTGCACTGGCTGCTCGTGCTCGCCCCGATCGGCGTCGCGTCCTTGGTGGCGGGCGTCGCGGCCGCCAAGCAGCCCATCGTTGGCGACGGACGCGCATTCTTTGCGCAAACGTACGCGTTCATGCTGACGCTGGGCATTGCGATCGTCGTGTACACGTGCATGCTGTTGCCGCTCTTTTTAGCGCTCTTGGCGCGCATCAACCCGTACCCGTACCTGCTCAAGATGTTTCCCGCGCAGCTGTTTGCATTTTGCACGGCCTCGAGCGCCGCGACGCTGCCCGTGTGCATGCGCTGCGTCGAGGGCACGAAAGAAGTGAGCCAGTCGCTCTCGCGCTTTGTCATTACGCTCGGCGCGCCGCTCAACAAGGACGGCGCCGCGATTTACCTCTCGGTCGGCATTGTGTTTTTGGCCAATAGCGCCGGCGCCACGCTCTCGGGCCTCGACCTCTTCTTGACCATTGTGCTGAGTCTTGTCGGCTCGATGGCTGTCGCGCCCGTGCCCGGTGGCTGCCCCGCCGTGCTCTACTGCATTTGGACGTCGCTCACATCGGTGAACTCCAACCAAGTGCCCGGCGCGCTTCAGACGCTCCTCCTCCTCGATTGGTTTGTCGATCGGTTCACGGCCGCGGTCAACGTCACGGGCGACACGGTCGTCGCCCGCGTCATCGCCAAGCAGATTGACGAGCAAGGCGTCGACGAGCAGACTGCCGACTACTAATGTATGTGAATCCAACACCTTGATTATATGAGTCCGATGGTGGTCGTCATGGTATGACGCGTGACATGGATACAGGAGACAAAGTGTTCTCAATGCGCGCCCTCGCTTTCGGCCTTGCATTTCGCAGTGGTTGTGTCGGGAGCAGGTCGAGGGCAGTACCCCTACCCCTGCCCTACCCCTTTACTGAGCCTCGGTATATGGACCTGGATACGCACCGTTCAAGCAACGACACACGCTCGTCCTCACATACGAGAGCGCCGTGTCCTGTCTTACTCGACTTGTGCGCTCCATGCCGCGCGCACTGCTATTATGGGTGCATTTACGGCGTGAAAAGTTAGGTCCCTGCCAAGCCCTGCCCATGCTTGCGAGTTCAAACCCTTTCGACCGCAATACTGTAGTACGGGCGGGGTACGTGCTCTACCGCAGCTCTAGATCGCTAGTGTCGTGTCGCTCGTTTAGCTTAGACTCGTAGTGGCGATGGCGTTGATTCCACGACCAAGCCGAACTCGAAGTTCGAAGTACACGAATATGCGATCTCTGCCTTCGAGGCTTTTCATCATTTTCGACCACGCGGCCAAGGAAGAGACAGACAGCATGGCGTTCAACCTCTTTGCCCCGGCCGAGACGATCAACTACGACTTCGTCGCGGGCATGTACGGCCTCTTCACGCTCCTCGCGATCGTGCTCTATGTGCTGCAGCACTACACGGACGCGGTCGAAGGCTTCTACATCGTCATGGCCCCGTTCGCGCCGTGCCTGCTCTGGAGCCTCGTTGTGCGCCGCAACTGGCTGCGCCTCGAGAAGGCCAAGACCGACTAACCGTCCACGCTTTTGTAATCGATGCTTGCTATATACTATCCAAAGTGGCGCGACGCGAAGCGTGGCATGTGCTGTCGCTTCGCGCGCTTCTCCCGCACGAGCGACAGCGCCTGTCGCCGCCGGTACGCGCTCTGGAGGCGCACGACGCTGCGGTAACCCGGGCTGCTCTCGGCCTTGATGATGTTGCGCGAGTTGGGCCGCGAAAACGTGAGCTTGCAGCGCTGGAAGCTGTAGTAGTAGCGCGCCTTGGTTGCGGGATCGACGCACTCGACCCACGCGTTGTCCTTGTCCCGCGCGAGCTCGAGTGCGACGCGACGGACCTCAACGTCTGCACGCAGCTTGGCGTCTGAGAGAAGGACCTCGAGCATCTGTAGCTCCATGAAGCGGGGCACGACAGCCCTTGCGCCGTCAAAGTCCCTACACATCACACGCTCCCAATGCCGGTCAACGATCTATGCAAACACGTACGGCGGCTCATCAAGCACGCACGCTTGGGTGTCGCGGTTGTAGTAGTACGGGACGCCGCCGTCCTCCGTGTGCGCCATGAACCACACGTTTTCCTTTGGCGTCCGGGTCGGGGGCTCGAGGACCTTGGCCAAGTACGGCGCCGCGACCGCCGTCGGCAAGAGATGCGCTTGCATGTGCACGTGGTTGAGGGCGCAGGAGACCCAGTCTCGGAGTCGGAGGTACGCGGGCATGCGCTGCCACGACGGATCGGTCGGCGGCACTTGGTACGTCGACGGCAGCGACAACAGAAGGTCGTCAAGGTGATGGCGCGAGAGGTCGTACGGCTTGGTGAAGAGGCCCATGGGTTCATTGCACGCGACCCACTCCCACCCGCAGAGGTGTGCGTCAATGTTCTTGACGATCCACGCGGCCCAGACGCCCGACCAAAGCACAGCGGCTGTGGCCTTCGGCGACGGCACGTTGAAGAGCCAGAGGACGCAGCGCACGGTGGTGAGGACGGCTTCGGACGGCGGAAAGTCCCACCCGAGCGGATCTAAGAAGTCCGACTTGCCCATTTCTTGAAGCGCAATGACGCTCTCGTCGTACGCCGAGACTAGAAGCAGTGCTCGGCACGCATCGAGCATCGAGGAGGGTACCAATCGCAAGCACTTCCATCTTGGTGAACGCTGGCGACAGGTACGGGCGCTTGGCAATGTACTCCTATACCGCGAGATCGTTCAGAGCCACGCAAGGGTGTCGTACCTTGTCGAGCTGCATGGCGAGCTGCGCTTTCGGGACGCCTTTGGCTTGCAGCTCCTTCTTGAGCTTCTCGAGGTAGCTTGCCAAAGCGTCGTCCTCGGGCATGCCAAAACTATCTACTAGCCAAACAAGGATAAAGATAGATCCACGGAATACCATCCACTGCGTCGCCGCCTTTGATGACCTCTGCGCTCTCACACATCGGGCCCTCTCGACTTTTCAGACTGGTACACCCCCGACCAAGGCGTCGCGCATCGCGGAGAGTGTCGTCAACTGGTGAACCACCGCCGAGCGGCGCTATATAATCCAGCATAACTTCATGTTTGCGTGCGATCGAATTCTGAACCAAAGCGTTCGTACCAGCTCTCCTCGCAACGCTTGCGTCGACGCCGAACGAACAGCGACCAACTTATGACGGTTCAACAGAGCTCGAGGGACGCCGCGTTTGTCGCATCCGGTACAGTGGGCGCGACTTGACTCGGAACCGGTACGGCGTCGTAACCGTCCCGACACTCTCACAAGTCGTTCAACAGCAGGTTCACCTCGTGCCATCGGCGCCGATGCAGATTCAAGTTCGCCCGTCCGTGGCCACGGGTCCTGGCATCTCTTGCACATTTTCGCCTCAGCGATTTCACTGCCTTGGCCGCCGCCTCGTCGAGCTCGGTGGCATGCTCTCTGTCGTTGTTTCAATTGGCATCAGCACCTGCGCCCTCGCTATCTTTGCCTCGTATCTCGAGACCGACTTTTTCGTGCCCAACTTTAGCTCAGCAACACCGATCCTCGTCGCCATCCTCAACCACCACCTCGCTCTCTCCAGGTCCGGCGCTATCGACGTCCTTGCACCTCAATCCGCTTTTGTACCGTCACTTCAAGGCGCGAGTCCGGCGTATCCGCGCCTCATCATGTACCAGGAGCTCACCCGTCTTCTTGATGGGGTGCGGGGTCTGCGACGCCTTGGCGCAACGCAGGTCGTCAAGATGGTCTCGCCCTACTGCTGGGCCGACCTCAACAAGACGTACGAGCTCGCATACACGACCAAGCGCCAAGCGCGATGTGCTCTGTATGAAGCCACGAACGGCGCTGTACACCTCGAGACGGTGCTCCGCAACATTGATTTCAGCGGCTTTCTGGACGCGACCCAAGGACTCTTTCTGTCGACTATAGCGCATCCGATTGCGCAAAGTGGGTCGGCTGGCGCAGCGTGGCTCTCGACTCTAGAGACGCACGTGTGGACGCCCGAGGCAGACGAAGTGGCACTCTGGGCGTCGTACGGGCTTGAGCGCTATACGCTGCAGTACGGCACCGGTATCAGCATCGGCGTGTCCGAGTCGATCTGGGTCGAGACAGCACTCGGACAGATATTGTCGTTGCCGCTCAAGACAATATCGACGACCAATCGGTGGACGTTTCGAACGACCAAGGTCCTCTACAATCTCTTGTACAACGACTTGTACGCCATTGGGTCCAACCAGAGTCTCGTTCGGGGTACGACCAACTACTTTGGCGACGTGGACGCGAGTCAGATTGAGGCGTTCGCTATGCAACCTCCGCTCAAACCAGTACAACAGGCCATCCACAACAACCTCGGACCGTTCGGCAGCATTGACGTCAAGTGGGTACCGCCACCACCGCGCCTCCTCACCGCTGTGCAAGCGTTTGAAGCGACCCTCGTCGCAGCACTTGTGACGTCGACCACAATGCCATCGGTCGACATGTCCCGCGAGACGCTGCTCGTGACGCCACGCCGCTGGCTAAATCGTGAGCTCGGCTTTGTCTCGGGCAATCCCATGTGCACTCTGGGACGACCGCAGAGCTTTGTGCAGCAAACATTTCGATTCGACGACGTCTGCGGCAGCCAGGCACCGTTGACCCTCGAGTGGCACAGCTTCAACGCTGTCTTTGCACTTTGGCTTCTCGGTGGCTCGGTGTCGACGACTGACGTCTGTGCGTCATGTCCCACCGACTCGATGGCCTGCCAACGACTAGTGACCAAAGCCAAAACGCTCTATGACGCATTGTCTCTACCACTGCTGGACCCGGCGTTGCTATCAGATCTTATATCGCTGGACATTGGGTTCCTCCAGATCTTTTACACCAACCAGACAGCCATCGCTGTCGACCAGCAGCGGCTCCTCGC